AAAGGCAAGAGTAAAACTGAGGCCAAGGAAGTTGCAGTTGTTAAAGACATTTGCCCAGAGACTATAAGAAAGATGGCCTAATGGCATCTCAAGAGCTGGCAAGACCACACCCCCCTCAGGCTCAAGGAAGTAAGAGTAAAAATTCTCTGAGACCAGTGGGGTACCCTTCTTACACAAGGGGGCCTAGGAAGTTTTTTCAACATGCTCAACTACCCAGGCACTCAGGCTGCTGCCGCCAGGGTCCCTGGAGGCTTGGCTACTGCTCAAGATAGTGGCGGACCGTGATGTCAACCATTATGCTGGAGTTAGGGAGTCATGGGTGCTTCCACCAAGATTTCAAAGGAAGGCCTGGGAGGCCAGGCAAAGTGCAGCAGGATCAGAGTCCCTGCGGGCACCCCTGAGAGGCAATGTGTGGAGATGTGAGGAAGAGGGCAAAGCTGTAGTGGAGACCCCCAAGATTAAGAAATGCCAGTAAAGTGGGACATTGTCCTAGGAAACCTGCAGGAATCAGGCAGCCACAAGCCAACAAAAGACAACTTGGGCTGCAACCAACATGGTCACAGGGGTGGAGCTACTCAAGCCTTTGGAGAAGACATCATGCCTTGTGCACAGAGCTAAAGGACTAGTTTGTCCAGCTGGATTTTGGTGTTGCTTTGGTCCCATCCCTTCTTTCTATGCCCCTATTTTTATGAATGGATATGTTTACTCTGTACCATTATATACTAGATACTTGTAAACTGCTTTTAATTTTACATGAGCTTACAATGTGAGATTACCTTGAGCCTCAGAGAAGACTTTGGACTTGAACTTTGAGCAATCTTGAAACTGTTGAAACTATGGGAATAGACTAAATGTATCTTAAATTGTCAGATGAGTGTGAGCTTTTGGGGACCCAGGGCAGAATGTTATGGTCTGGATGTGAGGAGTCCCCCAAAAGCTTATGCACGGACTAAGTGAGAAAGTTCAGATAAGAAATTATTAGGTTAAGAGAGCCTTAACCAAATCAGTGTATTAACCACCTGATGGGATTGAGTGGTAACTGAAGGCAGGTGGGATGTGGCTGGAGGAAGTGGGGCTTTGGGGGCGTGGCTCTGGGGTATATATTTTTATCTCTTTGCCTCTTGATCATCATATGAGCAGGTTCTTTCCACTACACTCTTCCACCATGATGTTCTACCTCACTTCAAGCCCCAACTAATGCAGCTACCTTCTATGGATTAAGACTTCTGAAACCATGAGCCCTCAAATAAACTTTTCCTCTTCTACAATTGTTCTGGGTTGGGTCTTAGTAGCAGCAGTGAAAAAGCTGACTAAAACAAGGGCACAGCCCCAATTAACTCAACAGGCATGTAATTCTAAAGCTCTCACTAGGCTCCACTTCCTAGAGATTCCACCATGCCTCAATGGTGCCACTGGCTGGGGACCAGGCTTTCAATACATGGGTCTTTGGAGGACATTCAAGATCAAACTACAGCAATACCTGTTAGCATAAATCAGTTTCTGAATTGACCCTAATTGCATTCTTACATTTTAGAGAAATGCATCTTATTTTCTTATTGAAAGATTATGAATATTACAAAAACAAAGTATTCCTAAATACCACTGAAAAGAGTCTCCTGTTGGAATAACTCAAGCGTTTAGCTCTCTTAGCCACCACCAGCCATCATGGTCTTATCTGTAGTTAATTGTATAGGCAGATATTTTACTTTTGTAAAGAAAAGTTTTCTTCAGAGATTCCAATCCAGATTCTTAATACTCCATTTGAACAGTCTGCTAAATTCATTAGGTTTGGATGATCCCAATAAAACAACTATCCATTATGCTCAACCACCAACAAAAATGAAAGGCCCTGGACTGTGGTTGTGCTCAGTAGCAGAGCATTTGCCTAACATGTGTGAGGCATTGGGTTTGATTCTTAGCATCACATAACAAATAAAAAAAGAAAGGCATTCTGTCCATTCACAGCTACAGGGGGTGGGGGGGGGAGGGCCCTTTTGGTAAACTATTTTTAGAAGTGCTAAATTCTTTTTCTTTCTTTTTGGACGCAGAGGAGCTTAACACTGAGCCACATCCCACATCCCCAACCCCCTTTTTTTTAATATTTATTTTTTAGCTTTAGGTGGACACAATATCTTTATTTTACTTTTATGTGGTGCTGAGGATCGAACCCAGTGCCTCAGGCATGCCAGGTGAGCGTGCTACTACTTGAGCCATATCCTCAGCCCCCGCAACCCTTTTTTATTTTTCATTCTGAGACAGGTCTTGCTAAACTGCTTAGGGCCTTGTCAAATTGCTGAGTCTGGCTTTAAAGTTGCAATCCTCCTGCCTCAGCCTCCCAAGGGGCTGGGATTACAGGCATGAGTCACTGTGCCCATAGAAATTGTAGCCTTGGCAAAAATAGAGTAGTGGATTCAGCCCAGGGATATAAGTCAACTAACTATTCTACCCCAAACTGGAGGTTTGGCCACATACAGTCTGAAAGACATTGAATGCCAGACTAATTTCTCAGCCTACAACTAAGAAGCACTGTCATCGTTCCCGGCAACTTAAACACTCAGAGGTTACTCCAGGGGAACTGAAATAACTGGGCTCTGCAAAATAACCACACAAGAAATACCTTTTTCTTTGGGGTGCTGTGATGGCTCCTCTGACCTTAAGGGTCTGCAGAAAGAAAGAGCAGGAGCACGTACTGACCCCTTTTATGGAGAAGCCATTCAAATGAAGCAAGGGGTCAGGTTTCAAGGGGCTGAGTCTAGCTTCATGATGTCTGCTGTCAGCAGGCTGACTGACATCTAGGTAGGCCACACCCAAGGGCAGAGTAAGAGAAGGGGACACACAAAAGGCGTTTCCATGGAACATTCTATCCTAAATAGGGCAAGAGGTAATATCACAAAGGAACAGGTGAGCATAGCTCCACCCATGGGGATATAGGAAGCCACGCCCATGCATGAACACACAGTCGCTGGACCCTAAAGACTGGGGCTACCATCTGGGTTACCTAGGCAACCAGATCACAGAGTGACTGAGATGCCACACCAATCAGAAGAGGAGACAAATGTGGTCAAGTGCTAGTTTGGCCTCCCACAAGGTACATTCAAATACACAGAATGAAAGGTGTCCCCTTCATGCCTTCTATCTTTATTACATTCTCCATTGTTCACACAATGGTATACAATAGTTATATCGCCATAAATTTGGGTTCCAAATTTAAAGCTAAGTTCTATGTCATTTCCTCCTAATTCCCCTTCCTTGGTGATTGTCTATAGGAGTTACTACAGATCTTTATATTCTCCAGTCCTTTATTCTACTCTGTATGACACTGTGACTGTAATTTCTCAGAGAATATAGCACCTAGCAAGTATTAATTTATCTTTCAACCCTTTCACTCATAAATGTGTATACATGTACACTTTTTTTTTTTTAAATTTTGTAGTACTGACTTCCCAGTGGTTAATTGTAAGGGACTGCTGCAAAGTTTTGGTTACCTTAGTTAACCTCTCCAAAGGCTCAGGACACTTTTGACTTCTCTGGATTTTAACATATAACAGGAAAAATGGCACTTAATTTCATATTCTTGGGACATTTATGTTATGCTTTATTAATTATTTACATCTTTCAGTGAATCCACAATAAATTTCTATTTATTTACTTATTGTGCTGAAGATGGAACCCAGGGCCTTAAGACATGCTATATAAGCACTTTATGACAAAGTCATCCCCCAATCCAATTTCCTTTTTTTATAAACTTAAATTCAAAATCTATTAGATGCAACATGAAGATAGCATGGGAGGCCTACATAGAAGGGAGTATGGGAAGAAAATACATTGTTCCAACACTTGTAGCTCCCTGCTTTGCCAGATTTTCTCCTAAACTCTCTTAACGCATTCGTTCCCAAAGTAATCCATGACACAGGTGTCACTATTACTTGGGTTGGTCAGCTTTCTGTTGCTATGACCAAAATACATAACAACAATAATTTAGGAGGAAAAATTTATTTTGGGCTCACCACTTCCAGAGATTGGTCAGTCACCTCCATTGCTGTGGGCCCAAGGTGAGGCAGAACATCACAGAAGGGCAGCAGCAAAGCAGTGCTACTGATCTCATGACAGCTAGGAAGCAGAGAAAGAGAAAGGGCCACAGGGAAGATGAACCTTTCCAGGGCACACCCATACTGACCCACCTCCTTCCTCCAGTGATGACCCAGTTAGTCCATTCAAACTAGGATAGACTGATTAGGCTACAGCTCTCATAACCTAATCATTGCACCTCTAAACATTTCTGCATTAACACAGGAGCTTTTGAGGGACACCTTATATCCAAAACATAATATTATCCACTTGAAAACCAAGGCTTCATGAACTTCAGCACTAATTTTTATTTAGTCTGTGATGAAACAAATGTTTTAGATTAATATGGAAGTGATTTGATGGATTGGATGACAAAAGTAGTTAAGATGCTTGAGAAATTGTGGCTTTAGGTACAAGGCTGGGCAGGAAACAGTGAAAAGACTATTACTTATGAAGATTAGACAGATTATATAATGGCAAGATAGGAATTACAAGAGGAAAAAAAAAGATTCGGAATTTTCAACCAGATTAAACTGCAAACTAATGACAATAGTAGAGAAGTCAAGGAAAACTGGGTTAGTTCTATTACTAAGAACATGCTCCACAAAAAAATTACTAATAAAATGACTTAGGTATCATAAAGTGTTACAATAACAAACAAATCTGAGATTAGATATCTCAGCTAAAATCCAGAATCTTCTTCACTGAGCTAAGAAAAATATTCTTAATTCCACTTAGGTTCATGTAGAGATCTACCTTTAGATGAGCTTTCTAGATGAAACTAAAATGGAAAAGACCTCTGAATTATAGACTGTTCACTGAAAGTACAGTGACTATACATGACAGAAATAAAGGTGAATAAATTGGGGTCAATCTAGTGTTTCATTTAAGTATTTAAAAACAACAACAACAACAAAAAAAACCCCACAAAATGTTACTTAAAATATTTTAATTTCTAAAAATAATGAAACAATTAGAATTTAAGTAATTTCATTGTACAGCATTTGATAATACATTTCAACAACCAGAAAGGTAAAACAAACCACTTAAATTAGTTTAATTTACTTTCTAAACTTAATAATATCCAAATTCATTTGCCCACCATGAATATGCAAAAATCAGCACCAGTGAAAGTGCTGATGTAAGTTACTATATTTCAACTGGTAATAACCTATAAGTACAAGCACATAAGAACTTATTTTTTGGTACTTGGGATCAAAGCCAGGGCTTTGCTCATACTAAGCATACCTTATACCACCTTATATTATACTCCCAACGCTACAGTACATAGGAATTTTTTTCAAAAGACAATCTGATGAAATCCATAATCAACTGAAATTTCCATTTTATTCTGTTGTGAAAAAAACAGAAGCCATCACTAATATCAATGGTATCGACAGAAGAGATTATTTGCCTAGTCTGTGCTCAAAAGGAACAGTCATCTTGTTGAAAGGATATGAACTTTTCAAACTTAGTTCTTTTTCATTTGTTTACAAATAAAATGCTTCAGCTAACATTCTGACAATCTGTTCCCTACATGGCTGAGTCTTCCAGGTTCTCATTACACAGCCATTTATGGGCATAATCTTCTGAACACTGTATAGTTTGAAAGAGTTGTTTAAAGTTTCGAGGATACATATTAATTGTTTTCACATTTTCATTTTTTCTTATTTGCCTCAATATATGCTTGGCATCAACTGGACTCAATGAACTGCAAAAGAAACACAAAATAAATCTGCTTAATTCTTTTTCATAATAACTGTCAATTAATATTGATAAAGCTGGCCTCTAGCCCAATTTAAAATATAAGTATATATACATATATACACATACACACACACGTATTTATACATACATTAAGCTTATTTAGTTTAAGAGCTTGAATATAACATGTATAATTTTATCTGTTCCTAAGGTTTCACAGCTAACCTGTAATGAAAATAGCAGATTAGGCTGGGCATGGTGGTGCACACCTGTTATCTCAGTGGCTCAGGAGGCCACAGGAAAATCGTGAGTTCAAAGCCAGCCTCAGCAAAAGTGAGGTGCTAAGCAACTTAGTGAGACCCTGTTTCTAAATAAAATATAAAATAGGGCTGGGTATGTGGCTCAGTGGTCAAGTGCCCCCGAGTTCAATCCCTGGTACCCAAATCAGATTAGGCTTTAACATAATTTAATCATTTTCAATTATTTTCTTTTTAAAATATTTTTTAGTGTTGATGGACCTTTATTTTATTCATTTATTTATATGCGGTGCTGAGAATTGAACCCAGTGACTCACACATGTGAGGCAAGCACTCTACCACTGAGCCACAATCCCAGCCCCTAATTATTTTCTTTTCGGGGATAGGGAGGATACTGAGGATTGAACTCAGGGTGTTCCACCACTGAGCTACACGTCCAGTCCTTTTTATTTTGAGATGGGGCCTTACTAAGTTGCCAAGGCTGGCCTTGAAGTAGAGATCCTCCTATCTTAGCCTCCTGACTGGCTGGGATTATAGGTGTGCACCACCATGCCTCGTTGTAGTCAATTCTTACACAAAATTCTTGTTTAGTTTTAACTTAAAAAAAAAAAGAAAAAAGAAAAAACAATTTTTGTGGGACTGAGAGTGTAGTATACTGGGAGATCATTTCCCTAGTATACAAAAGGCCCTGGGTTTGATCCCCAGCATTGCCAGAAATAAATAAAAATTCTGACTACTTCTTTCATCTTTTTACTCTTACTCTGGTTTTGGGGATTAAATACAGGACCTCATACATCATAAGCACATACTTTACCTCTGAGCTATACCTCCCAGCCCTGCAAAAATATTACTAACTCCATTTCAGTTCATGTAAAAGTTCAAATACAAACAGCACAAGTTGACAGGTGATTTTTTTTTAAGGAGGAAATTATTTTTCACATTTTTGCAGGGTGGGGAGGGGTGGAGTACTGGGGATTGAATCCAGAAGTGTTTAAGTACTGAGTCACCTCTCCAACCCTTTTTATATTTTGAGACAGTATCTTGCTAAGTTGCTTAGGAATTCACATTTCATGTAGCAATCACTGGCAAATAAATTATAAAGTAGAGAACTTTCTCATACACAACCTTAGCAAGAAACTATCAATAAATCTCTGATAGAAAGAAAACAATTTTAGTAAAATATTTTTGTGGAAAATATTTCCAATACCTTTTTAATACTGAATAAAATCTTAAGTTAGCAATATCCAAGGGAATTTTTGACATTTTATACCATGATTTACCATAGTTATTCCTTGTTTTTCTATTTTCTTGATATTTGCATTCAAAATAGCCACAACCACAAATAGCAAGATGAAAAATAGTAGGTTACTATTACTGATCTAATGCCACTTTTAACATTTTAATTTTTATTTTTTATAGTATTGATGATAGAACCCAGGGACATTTTACCACTGAGCTACATCCCCGACACCTCCCTTTTTCAAATTTTTAATTTTTCTTAGTTGTAGATAGACACAAAATCTTTATTTATTTATTTATTTATTTTTTAATGTCGTGCTGGCGATCAAACCCTGTGCCTCACATATGCTAGATAAGCACTTTACCACTGAGCCACAACCTCAACCCCTCTAACCCTTTTTATTTTGTTAAAGCACCTGACTTTAAAATACATTTTTATATTAACGATGTGCAGTCAGTTAATTCAGAGTTATATACTAAATAATTAAAGTAATTATTTTAACATTTTTCCCATCTTCTGACAACACTCTGAATGAATATGGGCTGATGAATACAAGGTGCAGTGTAGGACTTTATACATTAGCCCTATATAAAAATTATATAGATACATGTGTAGCTAATATAAAAAAATAAATAAAATAAAAAATAAAAAAGTTATATAGATACAAAGTAGGTAATAACAGCATAATTTTTATAAATATTTAAATGGAAACATAAAATCTGTTCCACAGCAAAAAGAATGGTGTGGTACAATGATTCATTCTTATTGTGGTTAGGAAATAAAACCAGTGAGGACAGGTAGCAATAAAAGGCAGATGGCAGGTTTGCCAACAGCAATTCTGATTCTCCATCCCAGCTAATGGTGAACATTGGGTTGTTCCTATAGGTTATAGTCTGGCCTATATTTTGATAAAGATAAAATAAATTGTGGGCTTCCTTGTTTGCTTTTTAAAGAAGGAAAGTCAATGAAGTTCAGTGGGAGGATATGTAGAAAAAAATATGATAATATTATTCTCAAAAAGTCTTTCAGGGAGAAGGAAGTATTTTCCAGAAATATTTAAGTGAAATATGGGTACACCTCATATAGAGTTCTAACAAAATACTGTCACAATAAATTGCTACTTTCGTACTTGTATTTATTCTTTGTACTTACTGTAAATGGTCTACTAGCTTGGCATTGCGCTTCCCAAAACAGTGCTTTACCATATGAAAAAATACATCATAGTTAACGGGAGTCAACTGTTCTGTAAATAAAGTTTTTCGAGGAGTCATTTGAATAAAATACAGGTTCTGTTGTATTGGTTCTAATGGTTCCTAGAGAGAAGGGAAAATAAACTGTGTCAATGATAAAATATTATCAGAGCAAAGCACTGTTCACTTATTCCTTCTAGCTATTTGTTGGAAAATACAATCACCACAGTCCCTGAATGTCTCTGGATTTTCTCTTTGGACATGAAAGCATGAATACAAAGCCCTCACTCTTCTTTACCTGGGTCATCTCTCAAAGTTGTTTGCAGTGAGCAACCTTAAGAGATGAGATAATGCCTCTCTCCAGAACAAAGAGGAGGACTGTTTATTGTTTGCTATAAAAGAAGTGTTTCCTGGGGCTGAGGTTGTGGCTCAGCAGTAGAGCGCTTGCCTAGAACATTCGAGGTGCTAGGTTCGATCCTCAGCACCACATAAAAATAAATAAATAAAATAAAGGTATTGTGTCCAACTACAACTAAAAAAAAAAAAAAAAAAAAGAAGTGACTCCTCCAGCTCTGTATCCCTCAGCTGCCCACTATATTCACAGCATACAACTGAGCCACATCACATCACTCCATGGGCTGGAGGTACAAAGTTTTCTATGTAATTAAGAAGTTGTGTGTCCTTGGCCAGCATCTGCAAAACAGTAACATGTACCAATTCCCTACTATATTCAAAGTATGCCACCATGACCGCTAGATCTAAAGATAAGAAAACATCATTGACACAAGATGTGGTGGCGCATGTGTATAATACTAGTTACTTGGGAGGTTGACACAGGAGGATTTCAAGTTTAATTCCAGCCTGAGCAATTTACTGATACCCTGTCTCAAAATAAAAAATTTTCAAAGGGGGTTGGGGACATATATCAGTGGTAGAACCCTTCCCTAACATGTACAAAGCCAGTGATTCATTCCCCAGTGCCACAAAAAGATTGACTTTTTTTTTAAGACAAAGTCATGCTGTATCGCCCAGGCTGGCTCCAAAACCTGGGCTCAAGCTTGCCTTCAAATCTCAAATAGCTGGACTACAGGTGCATGCCATGGCACCCAGCTGACTTGCAGTCTTTAATTGAATATTTAAAAACTGAAAGTCTCAAACAACTTAGATATTAAATGCATAAATAAAATTCTCATCTTCATCCCTAAAAGTGCACATTTTTTAGCCTTTGATCTTATTGAAAAAGGGAGAAATGTCTTATACGTAATCATGTTCATTTTTTGGACATTTGGATAAATTCCTAATGGTACCCAAGCCAAAATGCATTATTCCTATTCAACTCTTTGAATATAAATTATGTTTATGAATAGGGAAATCTAACAGGTCACCATGATATGTGATCACTCTATAATCAGACTCTTCAGTAATTTTCATTTTCCCTTAGTGGGAAGAGTAAGGGGAGGAAATAAATGGGATCTTCCAGAAGCTGGTGTTAGGCCATCATTAACATCAAATTCTAAAGTAGAATTTCTGAATTCAGTCTAAAAAATATTCTTTTGCATCATCTGTTAATTTATTGGAATTGAACAAGTAACCCTGAGATAAATTAAATAGAGGGCCACCTTATAACATGACCACTTTAGTTTTTTAGAAAGGAAAAAAAAGAATAACAAAAACAAAAATGAAAGCCCAAATTCCTGGGCAAGAACAAATAGGTACCTATTGGTGAATTCAACCATAAAGAAGAGTCAAAATTATAAATTTCTGATTGATGAATAAGATGTAAAATTTGACTTTATCCTATTAAATGAACATTAAAATAATTATATTCTACAAATTTGAGATGTGTCTTCATTTTTTTATTTTCTGGCATTGGGAATTGATACCAGAGGTGCTTTACCACTGAGCCACATCCCCAGCCCCTTTTATTTTTGTTTTCAGAGAGGGTCTCAATAAGTTGCTAGGGCCTTGCTAATTTGGGGAGGCTGCCCTCAAACTTGGGATCCTCCTACCTCAGCCTCCCAAGTCACTGGGATTACAGGCATGCCACCCATATCTTCATTTTAAAAGACAAAAGAGAAGTCAGATTCTCTATTTAAGCCTATTACCATGTTAGCATCTACTACTGAATGGCTGATAAATACAGCTATTTCAAAATAATTTCAATTTATTTTAACAAGTAATTAGACATGTTTAAAGAGCGTTTGTAATAATTTTCAAATTTAAACTTTAAATAAATCGAGAATACCAGATAATCTTAAAGAAAATGAGGGATGTTCCATTAAAAGGAAAAAAGGAAAAGTTATTAATTTATTCTTACCCTGTGCTTTAGCTTTTCCAGCTGCCCATTTTGGGGGTATATATCAAATGACGACCAAGGCTCCTTAAAGAAAGAAAAACAAAATACAAAACAATTCTTTCAGTTCTTTTTGGTTGAAGTTCCCCAAATTATTATGGCCTTAAAAAATGTCATGCTTAAACAGCAGAATGAATTAAACCCAGGTCATAGTCTAATTGGATTTAGGAAAAATAAGCGATAGTTGAAAAACACATATACAACTCTATCTTACTTGTGTGTGTGTGTGTGTGTGTGTGTGTGTGTGAGAGAGAGAGAGAGAGAGAGAGAAAGAGAGAGAGAGGAGAAGAGGAGGAGGAGGGGGGAGAGAAAACACCTTAATGTGATCATACAAATAGGTTCTTTTCTTTTTAAATACTTCCATTTTTATGTGGTGCTGAGGCTTGAACCCAGTGCCTCACATGTGAGAGGAAAGCATTCTACACAACCCCAACCCACAAACAGGTTCTTAAGTCATAATTTTTTCATGTCAAATAGATACCATGTACACAGGACAGTAATGCGGTTTGAGGAAGGCATGTCCCACACATGGTGTGAAAACCCTATCATCACGCTTACGAACCACAAAAGCTAACATTTTCATACTAGAGTCAGAATCAACAGTTTAAGGGAGATCATATCAATAGCAAGGATTTTTTTTTGTCCTATTTTAGTGGAAAAGCCTATTACTCAAACTGATTTGAATATATTCAGACATTTAAGATTCACAAAGATACTCATGCCAATTTTTAAAAACAGAATCATTACTTTTTTCTATGTAACGTTTTTGTTCTGTTTTGTTTTGTTTGTTTTGGTACCAGGATTGAATCCAGGTGCACTTAAACACTGTCACATTCCTAACCCTTTTTAAAAATGTTTTATTTAGAGACAGGGTCTCCCTAAGTTCCTTTAGGGCCTCGCTAAGCTACTGAGGCTGGGTTTGAACTTGCAATCTTCCTGCCTCAGCCTCCCAAGCCACTGGGATCATAGTTGTGCACCACCATGCCCAGCTCTATCTAACTTTTCCATGTACAATTTAGTGCATAAAGTAAATCTTAAAAAACCCAACTGAGAGCTGGGACTGTGGCTCAGTGGTAGAGTGCTTGCCTAGCACGTGGGAGGCTCTGGGTTCGATCCTCAGCACCACATAAAAATAAATAAGTGAAATAAAGGTATTATGTCCAACTACAACTAAAAAATAAATATTAAAAAACCAACTGAAAAATAATTCTCTATATTAAAAATATCTATCTATGTACATATAAAATTTCAAAATAGGAGTGGGTTAGAAGAGCATCTGACACAGACTTAAAAAGACTAAAACAATGTCAAACATAAGGTTTGAAAGGCTACTGTCAGAATTGATAATTTATTATTAACTGTGGTGGGAATGGAAGTGGAATGGAAAATACAATTGTTACCCAACTGTGAAATTCCTAGCAGTTCTAGGAACATCATTTTAAGTACAGAAAGGCAAAGCCCTGGGAAGGGTGCACAGCAGGCAATGTTGGTCAAGCCACAGCAGTTTGGGATATAGCAGTGGGAGCAAAGGACACTTCACTTTTGCCTGCCAAAGCCACAGTAGAGGAAAACCTTCAAGACCTTGGGAAATGAGTTAAATGTCTGCTTTGTAATTATAGATTTACAATGCAGCAAGTGCTGAAAAAAATGTTCTGTTCAGAAAGAGCTCTCTTTTCTCAAGGTTAATAAATGGCAAAATTTAATACAGGATGTTATGGTTTGAATATGAGGTGTTCCCCAAAAGCTCTTGTGTCAACACAGGAATATTCAGAAGTGATATGAATAAATTATGAACTGTAACTTAATCAGTCTATCCTGGTTTGAATGGATCAACTGGGTGGTAACTGTAGGCAGGTGGGGCATGGCTGGAGAAGGTGGGTCACTGGGGGTGTGCCCTTAGGAATAATATCTTGTCTCCCTGGCTCCTCCCACTCTCTGCTTTCCTGCTGCTGTAAGCTGAGCAGTTTTCCTCTGCAATGCCCATGGAATGAACTTCTGAAACTGAACCCAAAATAAAGTTTTCCTCCTCTAAGTTGGGTCTTGTCAAGTACTTTGGTCACAGCAATGAAAACCTAACTATCACACAGGACTTTTGAAAACAAATACTAAGGAACAGGAAGAAGGAAACATTAACCTGAAAGCCAAAGTCCTTAGGAGGCCTCTATGAAGATACTAGCTGAAAGCTATGAGGACAGAGAAGGCTGAGATTAAAAGTCAACAGATGAGATAAGAATGGGGAAAGGAAGGGGATTAGGCAAACCAAGAACTACAGTATGGAGATTACAGGATAGTAATGTAAAGATTAAGTATAAAAAGATTCTGGGACTTGAGAAAAATGATGAGAACACGATTGATATCAAAGACAAAGATAAGGACCCAACATACCTGTGTTTTGGAGAAGGAAAAATAACTGGAACAAAACTTCAACTAAAACAAGGTAACATTCCTAAACTAAAAAATGCAAATAAAAGGGCTTACCAAGTTCCTGGACAAAAGTAGGGAAGAGACTACATGGAGACACACACTACAAAATCTAAAACTTAAACCAATACATTCTTAGAAACACAAGGCCTTAAAAAATATATAACTACAATTGTTCCATTGTATCTGTGGAACTGATCTAGGATCCCCTTCCAAAACTTACATCTGTAGATCCAAAAGTCCCTCATACAAAATGGCACATTATTTGCAAATAACCTATTCACATCCTCCTGTGTACTTTAAATCATCTTTATAGACTGTTTATAATAGCTAATATGATGTAAATACTTGTCGTACTATATTGTTTAGGGGATAATGACAAGAAAAAAGTCTATACATGTTCAGTAGAGTCATAATTTTTTTCCAAGTATTTCTATCTGCAATTGGTTAACTCTACGGATATAGAGGACAGGACACAGATATCTGCAGGACACAGATAACTGACTATATATATCCTATAAAAACTACTTGATAGATAATCTGGTCTACTAAAATAAGTAAGAGAATGGGCAGCCTGTAATCCCAGCGGCTCAAAGGCTGAGGCAGGTGGATCTCAAGTTTGAAGCTAGCCTCAGAAATAGTGAGGCCATAAGCAATTTATCGAGATCCTGTCTCAAAAAAATAAATAAATAAAAAGGGCTGGGGATGTGGCTCAGTGATTAAGCACCCCTATGTTCAATCCCTGGTACCAAAAAAAAAAAAAGGGCAAATTATGTATGAAAGTTGTTTATCATTTTTTCCTCATATTCCAGCCTTCTGATATTAAATGTATTAATAGCTTCTAGCAAGATGTATATATTAATAACATTTGAAATGTGTTCAGAATTGACATGGCTGTAATTGTATGAAACATGGTGGATTTTCAAAGGCTGAGTACAAACACAAAAAACATAAATTATGTAATAGCGCAATATTAAGTACATACTGACCTGACAATAATCTGACTTTACAGGTGGCTAAATACAATATAATATTAATTTCACCTGTTCTTTTTTCTTTTTATGAGGCTATTAAAAAATGTAAAGCTACATAATGGTTCATACTACCTTTCTATTAGACAACTATAATCTTTCTTAAGATAACTAAAAAGGGCATGCTCTACATTGAACAATTGAGTAGCCATTAAAAACTTAAAAATGTTTTGTGACAAAGGAAAAAGTTTACAATAATTGCTTATTAAGTCAAAATATAAATAAATAAATGAAGAAAAACTCCACTATATCAAGATAGAAGTACAGGGATAATAATAAAAAACTGAAAATAGGTCACAATCAACAATGACTTCTGGGTTAAAAACTACAGTAACTGAGCTAGGTGCAGTGGTGCATACCTACAATCTCAGAGACTCAGGAAGTTGGGCAGGAGGATCGAAAGTTCTAGGCCATCTTTGGCAATTTGGTGAGATCCCTGACTCGAAAAATAAGAAATGGGTCTGGTGTGGTGGGTCACTCCTATAATCCTAGCCCCTCAGGAGGCTGAGGCAGGAGTATCACAATTTTGAGGCCAGCCTCAGCAATTTAGTTAGGCCCTAAGCAACTTAGTGAAACCCTGTCTAAAAATAAAAAATTAGAAGGGCTTGGGGATGTGGCTCAGTGGTAGAGTTCCCTGGGTTCAATCCCCAATACCAAAAAAGCAATAAGAAGGAAAGGGGTGGAGATATAGCTCAGTGGTAGAGTGTCCCTCTGTCAATCCCCATTACTACAAAAGTGGGGAAAAGAAAAAGAATTAAATTATAGTGAAATGTACTTCCTATTTTTACAACTATCATATATTATTTTTATGATAAGAAAAAATAAATATTTGTCACAAAGAATCTCTTTCACAAAGCTAACTTGCCCCATAACCTTCAATAGTTGGAAAAAATAATAAAAATTAATCTTTTAAAGCAATCTTTAGTACATAATCTGTACTTAAAACTTAGTCTCTGAAATATAATACAATCATCTCTTAGAATACATAATTTTACTCACCACATGCAGAAGCTTAACATCACAAGCTACTTGCCAGAGCACACTTAATGCCTGATAGAAGTTTGGATTTTTGGGACCTGCCGTTAGATTCTAGTAAAAGAAAAATAAGAACTATGTAATATATAAATTATAATCAGTCATAATTAAATGTTAGATCTTAATAGAAATACCTAAAAAGTATCTAAGTAAAAAAATTAGAAACAAAATCTTAATCATAATTATTTTAGAGTTTTTTATGCTTTCCTTTTGAAAACATGTTATCACGTACACTTAAAATTCAAAGTATGTGTGTGGAGCTCAGAGGTGCACACATGTAATCCCAGCTCTTCAGAGGCTAAGGAAGGAGGATATCAAGGTCAAGGGCAGGTGTAACAACTCATTGAGACTCTGTCTTGAAATAAAAAAATAATGGCTGATGATGGAACTCAATAGTACAATGCCCCAGGGTTCAATCCCCAGTGTATGGGGGTGGGAGTGGGGGAGGGGTTCCAATGCATTTGAGACTGGTTTCTTTTAATCATGTGATCTAAGGGCAAAATTCTCATTCAAGAAAAATTGAAATAAAAGTGTATAATACTAATCATTCAGTTATAGATGTGAGCGAAACAGTAACAATCCCTGTTTATGATCCTGTAACATAGCATAACAGAAAACATTAGCTAATAAATGCATAACAATTCATTAACTTATAGTATGTATTATGGAGCATAGGTGTGCCAAAAATATGCATCAGATGGGTTTTAAATTTTGAGTTGAGAGTTTCTTTCTTTCTTTTTGGTAATGGGAATCAAACACCAGGGTTTTTTGCTACTGAGCTACATTCCAGCCCTTTTTATGTTTTTATTTTCAGACAAGGTCTCACTCATTTGCTATGGCCTTGCTAAGTTGCTGAGGTTAACCTTGAACTTGTGATTCTACTGCCTCAGCCTTCAGAGCCATGGGGATTAAGCATGTGCTACTACTCCTGGCCTGAGTCAAGAACTGTAATGCTGACACTACAAAGACAAGAGTTAATTTCAGTGCATGAAATTAAGAAAGGAAAAAGGAAACCGTATTTTTAAAAAATGTATTTTAAAAAACATGCCACTGGAACATTTTCCTAGCAGCAAGATAAAATCTGATAAAGCATTTCCTATTTCTTTCATTCTTTTGTATAAATTCTATATGTATCACAGATATGAACCCCCTGCTCTTATCTTCCAGAGCTAGTCAATATTTATTTACTACCTAGGTGAATAAATCATCCTTCATTTCTCACACCATTTCCCAACCAATACCTCTTTTTAATGTACAAATAAGCATTTCCTATTATATTTTATCAACAAACGAAATGCGAAGTATTCTGGGGAGAAGTAAAACATTCCTCCCATAGCAATATCAAGTAGGCCTATACATTAGAGAATAAAACATAAGAGTTTGCTAAGTAAAAATTACAGGAGACTATTGTTTTGGAGTAAGCTCCTATACTAAACTCAAATACAGCAAGCTAAAAAATCAAAGTGGAATCACAAAGACTAAAATTCCATGCGATCACAAAGAAACCAAGTGTTTACGTGACTTTCCCAGAAATCAGGATTAGAAAGGTAAGAGCCAATTTTCTCAAACAGGTTAGTTTCAATTAGCATGATGTCTTACTCTTAATGTTAAAAAGGTAACCTGAAGTTATCTTTCTTAGCTCTATCTTCCAGTCCCTCGCTCATAATAAAAAGTAACTCTGAAATTACCAATCAACTTTCTGTTTTTTGTTTCTGCTTATCAGCCCTTTCCTGTCTATAAAACCAAAATTCCCTGCTCTGCTCATTAAAACATTTATTTTGTTTTATGGAAAGAAGTATTGCTGAATTCTAGAATAAAAAATAAAGTCAATTGAGATTGTTAAACTGAACTGTCTGTCCTTCAACAAGTCTAAAACCCTAAAGATTTCACAACAAACAAAAAAACAAAAAACACCGTTAGAAAAATCAAATTCAACAAAGTTACAGGATACCAAGACAATCTGCAAAAATTAGTTATACACTTATATTCCAGCAATGGAAAATCAGAAAAGGAAATGAAAAAATTCTATTCCTAATACTATCAAAATTAATTTTAAAAACCTGAAACCAAACTAAGGAGGTGAAAGACATACATTAACAACTACAAAACACTGCTGAAAGAAATGAAAAAATATACAAATAAATGGAAAGATTGTCTATGTGAATATATTGAAAGATTTAATATTGTTGAGCTGTCAGTACTAGTCAAAGTAAAAATACAGATTCCATACAATCCTTACCAAATATTTCTTTCCGAGAAAGAAAATCCATCCTAAAATTGATATGAAATTTCAAGGGATCCTAAGTAGTCTAAGCAATCTTTAAAAAGAAAAAAGTTGGAGGACTCTTATTTCCTGATTTCAAAACTTACTAGAAAGGTACACTAATAACACAGTACAGTATTGCCATAAGAACAATCATACAGACTAAAAGAGAATCCAGATATAGATCCTCATATATATGATCAAATTATTTTTGACAAAGGTCCCAAACTACTGAATGGGGAAAAGAAGTAACAATAAACAGTGCTGGGAAAACTAAATATTTACATGCAAAGAATAAAGATGGACCCTTGCCTGACAACATATACAAAAAGTAACTCAAAACAGATCAAATACCTAAATTAAAACTGGAAAACTCTTAGAAGAAAACCACAGAGGAAACTTTCACAAGAATGAATTTGGCAGTGATTTCTTAGATAGGATACCAGAGACACAGGCAACAGGGTTGACAGTGTAACTCAATGGTTGAACCCTTCTCTAGAATGTGTGAGGCCCTGCGTTCAATCTCTAGCATGAAAAAAAAAAAAAAAAAAAGAAAAAGAAAGACATTTTATCTCATCAAAAATAAAGACATGGGCTGGGGATGTGGCTCAAGCGGTAGCGCACTTGCCTGGCATGCGTGCGGCCCGGGTTCGATCCTCAGCACCACATACAAACAAAAATGTTGTGTCCACGGAAAACTAAATAAATAAATAAATATTAAAAAAAAAAAAAAAAAAAAAAAAAAAATAAAGACATTTGAGGTTGGGGTTGTGGCTCATCAGTTCGAGGTCCTGGGTTCGATTCTCAGCACCACATAAAAATAAATAAATAAAATAAAGGTATTGACAATTATAACTAAATAATAATAAAAAAAAGACATTTGATTTCATCAAAATTAACGACTTTGACCATCAAAGACACTATCAACAGGGTAAAAAGGCAAGACACAAAATGGGAGAAAAACTTGTAAATCATGTATTTTAGTAAACAATTAATACCTAGAATATATAAAGCACTCCTAAAATTCAGTAACAAATAAAAGGCCCTGGTTAAAAGATGGGCAAAGGACTTGAATAGACATTGTTCCAGAGAATCTTATACAATAAGTAAATGAAAAGATGTTCAGTATAACTAATTATTAGGAAAATGCAAATCAAAACCACAATGAAATACTACCTTATACCATCAAGACAAGTGTTATAAAAAACAACAACAACAACAAACAGCCATGGCACAGTAGTGCCTGCCTATCATTCTGGACAATTAGGAGGCTCAGGAGGGAGGCTGAGGCAGGAGAATTGCAAGATCAAGGCCAGTCTGGGCAATGTTGTGAAACCTTGTCTCAAAAATAAAATTAGAGAAGGGCTGAAGATATAACTTTTAGAGCACTTGCCTAGCATGATGGGCAAGGCCCTGGGTCAAATCCTCAGAAGAAAGAACATATGTGTGTACACACACACACACCAAAAAACAAAACAAACCAGGAAATAAGCATTGATGAGGATGTGGAGAAACTGAAACATTTGTGGTAGAAAAGTAAAATGATACATTCTGAAAAAAATTTAAAATAGAATTACCACATGAGTCAGTAAGTCCACTTTTGGATACATATCCAAAAGAATTGAAAGCAAGGACTTGAGGAAATATTTGTCACCTTGTGTACATGCCAGCATTATTCACAATAGCCAAAAGGTAGAAGCAACCAAGTGTCATTAACAGATGAACAGAAGAGCATGAGAAGAAGATTAACATTAAACAGGGATGAGAGGTGGGAGAGAGAAGGGAAATTGCATGGAAATGGAAGGAGACCCTCAGGGTTATACAAAATTACATACAAGAGGAAGTGAGGGGAAAGGGGAAAAAAAAAACAAGGGGGAGAAATGAATTACAGTAGATGGGGTAGAGAGAGAAGAGGGGAGGGGAGGGGAGGGAAGGGGGAATAGTAGAGGATAGGAAAGGCAGCAGAATACAACAAACACTAGTATGGCAATATGTAAATCAGTGGATGTATAACCGATGTGATTCTGCAATCTGTATTGGTAAATGGGAGTTCATAACCCACTTGAATCAAAGTGTGAAATATGATATGTCAAGAACTATGTAATGTTTTGAACAACCAACAATAAAAATTAAAAAAACAAACAAACAGATGAACAGATACACAAACTGCGATGTACACAACATGGTACAATAGAAATATTATTTATTCTTAAAAACGAATGAAATTCTAACATGCTACAACACAGAAGAACCTTGAAGACATTATGCTAAGCGAAACTAGGAAGTCAGAAAAGTACAAATACGGTACAACACTAAGTCAAATTCAGAGATAGAAAATAGAATAATGTTGCTAGGTGCTAGGGGAAGAGGGCAATGGGGAGTTAGTATTTAAGGGTATAGAGTTTCAGTTTTAAAGAAGGTGGATGTGGGGCTGTAGCTGCAGTGGAAAAGTGCTTGCGTAGCATGTGTGAGGCACTGGTTCGATCCTTAGTATTGAATAAAAACTAACAAATAAAATAAAGGCATAATGTCCATCTACAACTAAATAAATAAATAAATAAGGATGGTCATAATGGTGCACAATCTAAATTTACTTTGCCACTGAATTTTACACATAAAAATAGCTATGATAGTAAACTTTATATGTGTGTGTGTGTGTGTGTGTGTGTGTATACATATAATTACAATTAAAAAAAAAAAAACTTAAAAAACTTTCTATTCTTTATACTCTTAAATGTTGTGAGCCCTAAATTAAAATTGTACAGATTGGGCTTGGGATGTGACTCAGCGGTAGAGCGCTCACCTTGCACGTGCGGGACCCAGGGTTTGATCCTCAGCAACAAATAAAAATAAAATAAGTGAAATAAAGGTATTGTGTCCAACTACAACTAAAAAATAAATTTAAAAAAATTGTATGGATTAAGACTACACAGATAAAAATTACAGAACTCTTTCAAAACAAAACAAAAAAACATTTATTAATGTTACCTGGTATTCTTTTTCACTGACAAACATATTTAGTTCTACTCGTCCGTATTTATATATAGAAGTACAGGAATACAGATCATATAAAAGTTTCCAAAGTATGTTTCTTTCACTTCTAAATGGCAAAATTCCAACGATTTTTAAAGGAATACCTGTTAGGAATATAAGCAAAAAGATTTAGGTAAAGTTCTTAACTTTCCTTCTGTGACCACAATTTACTGAAGCAAACTAGGTAACACTGTTAATTTTAAGTTGATTTCAATTAAAAGAGAATAAAATCATGGCATTTGCAGGTAAATGGATGGCATTGGAGAAGATAATGCTAAGTGAAGTTAGCCAATCCCAAAAAAACAAATGCTGAATTTTTCTCTGATATAAAGAGGCTGACTCATAGTGGGATAGGGAGGGGGAGCATGGGAGGAATAGATGAATTCTAGATAGGGCAGAGGGGTGGGAGGGAAAAGGAGGGGGCAGGGGATTAGCAAGGATGGTGGAATGTGATAGACATCATTAACCAAAGTACATGGATGAACATTCGAATTGGGTGTCAACATATTTTATATATATACAGAGATATGAAAAATTGTGGTATATATGTGTAATAAGAATTGTAATGCAAAAACAAAACAAAACAAAGAATATGTATAAAGGCATGAATGGGAGTGAACATACTCTATACACAAAGATATGAAAAATTGTCCTCTATATGTGTAACAAGAATTGTAATGCATTCGCTGTTGTGTATTAAAAAATAAAATAAAATCAATAAAACTAAAATAAAAAAAAATTTTAAGTTGATTTCAATTAAAACTAAGCCTCAGTATCTTTCCCCCATATGGAAGTTGAACTCTGAGGATATAAAATGGTTGTGTCCAAGGGAAGGAAATGTCATATTCAACTGAGAAGCTGCTCATGAACTATGCAATAGAAACTATACCCAAATCTAAACAAACCCAGGTATACTGCCAAAGAAACCTGGCAAATTATAAGGCATTTACTTTACTGAATGACAAAAATTACCTGCTTTCCAAGAAACTGCTCGTATTCCTAAATCTTTAAAAAGCTCATTTGAAACGTAAACAGGCGGTTTTGCTATTGTACAATTGTCAGGATCCATTTTAAAGAAGTCACAGTAGACCACTTTTAGTCTTCTATCCATATTTTCCCTTAAGGACTGGAAACAAAGAGATAACATGTTAGGAAATTTCAATTACATAGACTATGCAATAGTTCAAAGATCTACTTAGAAAAATAATACAAAAAATAATTCAAAGACCTTACAAAATATATTTCTACCTCCAAAAAGAAAATATTACTAGCCAGGCACAGTGGTACACACCTGTAACCCAAATGACTCAGGAGGCTGAGGTCAGAGGATCACAAGTTAGAGGTCAGCCTCAGCAACTTAGCAAGATCCTGTCTCAAAGAAAAAATGAAAAGGGCTAGGGAATCAAGCTTAGTGATAAAGTCCTGGGTTTAATCTCCAGTACAAACAAAAAATGAAAGAATGAAAAAGGCAAATCTTACTAATGTACCTAAACCTTAACAGAGAAAATAAAAATCAATTAATGCCAAAAAAGCAGTCAAAGTATAACAATACTACCAAGAAACCCCCTCCCAAACAAAAGTAACCTTCAACAGGGGCAGAGGGTATAGCTTAGCAGTAAAGAAACTGCCTAATTTAAGCAAGGCCTTTGGTTAAATCCCCAGCACCACATAACAAAAAAACAAATAATAACAACAAAAGAAAAGCTTCAACAATCCTAACTTAACCTTTTACTTTCTTTGTTTTATCTTAATAGCTTCAGTTCTTCAAAAGTTTCTTCACACTAATCTCTAACTGCTTAGTAGTAGCTACCTGAAGCACTAGGCCAAGATTCTGAGATCATAGCTCGACCCTAGCACACAGCTGTGTATCATCTGCTATGGTCACTGGAAGAAGAAACAAAAGATGTTTCACAGAAGAGAAAAACAAAATATTAAAGCAAAATGCAAATGGAGTCAAAAGAATATCTCTTTTTTCTAAGGGAATCTAGTCAATCATCCACCAAATGAACTTAAACTCACTGTATAGATCAATCTATATCTTCACCTTTTCATTTACATTTTCTAAAGAAAGAAGCAGCCACAGACTTTGTCCAGTGGAATAGAATCACTACATTTCAGTCTTCTCATTATCCATTAAACTTAAATTGAAGTTAAAGAAAAATCAACTAGAAGAAGGCAGTAAGTTTTTGAGATGCACACTGAGGTTTGCTTTTTTTTTTGGAACTGGGGACTGACTACTGAGCCATATCCCCAGCCCTATTTTGTATTTTATTTAGAGACAGGGTCTCACTGAGTTGCCTACTGCCTTGCTTTTGCTGAGGCTGCCTTTGAACTCACAATCCTCATAATCCTCTTGCCTTAGCCTGCATTTATTTTTTAAAACCATGCTGAAGACTGAATTCATGGTCTCACAGTACTATCAAAGCACTCTAACACTGAGCTGCACCCACAGCCTTTACTGTTTTTTTTTTTATTAAATAGTTTTTAGTTGTAGTTGGACACAATACTTTCATTTTATTTATTTATATTTATGTGGCGCCCAGGACGTACCCAGCGCCTCCCAGCGCCTCCCGTGTGCTAGATGAGCGCTCTACCACCGAGCCACAACCCCAGCCCTCATACTGTGTTGTTTTTTTTTTAAATCTTAATTTTATTTATTTATTTTATGTGGTGGTAAGGATTGAATCCAGTGCCTCACACATGTGAGGTAAGCACTCCACCACTGAGCTACAACCCCAAATGGTATTCATCAGGTTTAAAATAATTTCACAACCTAAAGCGATGAATTTAAAAACCAACTTTTTCTTAAGCATTAAAGTTCAACCTATAAATAGTATTCTATTTCAAAATCTAGTAATTTTTTTTTTTTGGTGGTACTGTGGATTAAATGCTAGGTAAACTCTCTCTACCACTGAGCTACATACATCCTCAGCCCCTAAATCTAGTAGATTTTAATGATCACTTCATCAAGGGGACTATTTACAAAGATTAAAAGAACAACTGGGGGTAGAAATCATATATATTTTGTCACATCAATTCTGAGATGCCTACTAAGTGGTCAAATGGAGATGCTGGGTAGGAAGCTGTATATTTGAAAGAGGAGGTCAGTGGAGTGGTCCAGGCTGAAGGTATACATTTGTGAGAATATGACTTGTTAAGATAATTAAAGCCAGGAGTGTAGATCCCCAAGGAGAAATACAGAAGACTAAACCCAAGGATAGTGTAACTCCAGAATCTAATGACAAGAACCTGAGAATAATACAAGGAAATAAGGAAGGAAACCTGAAAAGTGCAGTGTTACAAAAGCCAAAAGAATAGAATACGGATGTAAAGCATATGATGACTTTAAAACTCCAACATGTATAGCAGTAAGCTAATCTCACAAGGTACAAAAGATATGTTTTAAGTAAGTAAAGTTAATGAATCTTGATTTGATGGAAATGTTTTATTTTTTTTAAGTGTATACTTCATTATTTAGTGATTTTTGTATTCTGAGGGAACATCATATTTATTTTTTTAAATATTTATTTTTTTTAGCCTTAGGTGGACACAATATCTTTATTTTATTTATATGTGGTGCTGAGAATTGAACCCAGTGCCTCACGCATGCTAGGCTCAAGTGCATTACCACTTGAGCCACATCACCAGCCCCACATCATATATTTTTGCTTTAGCACCTGTAATTAGCCATTCAATAATTCAAACACAATAACAGCCAAAGCTCCAAAATAAATAACTGAATTCATACAATAATTGTGAGGTCACATTTTAAAACTCAATTAGGATGCATTTAAGAGTCAAAAACAGGAAGCAAAAAAGAGGAAATTAACTCTTGAATTTTTCAGTCATTAAGTTAGGTACTTTACTTAAGTTTATTTTATTAATCCTAATCAAGATCCTATACAGGCGGATATTAGTATCTCTTATTTTACATATAAGATTTATAAGTTCTGAAAGGTTGAATTAGTTACTCGAACCAGGTCTAAAACTAAGAAGTGCTAGGGCTGATGACTATGTCCTATCCCTGCTGAAATTAGGATTTACCATAAAAGTTAGTTCTTGAACTGAACATCACAGCTATTTCTGCAACTTTTTTTTCAAAACTCAAATGGATATATCATGATTTATTATTATGAAACAAAATTTGCAATATGTGTAAGATGTCTAGTACATTCAGATAGGAAAAATAAACTTGTTGCCTAAAACATTGTTATTGTGGAATTCCAGGACTAGAGGAATTTAAAGTTAGTTAAAAATCCAGAATCAAGTATTATCCTTGAAAATTTTTTTCAGAAGCAAACTTGAGAGCCTTTAGGTTGCTAGAAACATGATTTGTTGAGAGGACCATTCTTGTTCCTTGATTAAGGGCAGCAAATGTTCTGCTTACATTATTTCTTTTCTTTTATTCTGACAAATAGATGAGTTCACATAAATGATTTGAATGGCTTTTCACTTTATCCTAGGATAATTAATAAAAGTGAAAGAACATCTACCAAGGGCTGAGTTCCCTAGGGTGTACTCAATGTCAGAGTGTGTACTAAGCATGTATGAGGCCTTGGTTGGCAGTTTAAGTTAGTGCCAGTGGTGATAAGAACATAAAAGCCTGAACTGGAGCAAAAACTAGATCTAATCTAAGACTGGATTTAGTCACTGATGTTTACATTTATAGCCTCAGAAACATTTTATTACTGATGTTCCTGTAAGAATTATTGTGTGTCAAAAATTCTCTGGTCCTTAAAAAAATCCTAGTTTTTCACTGAAGCAATTGTTTGTAAATTTAAACTTATTATCTGTAAAGATCTTACAATAAAGCAACCATGTGTTACAGGATAACAAAGTTTTAATAGAAACAGACATAATGTCATCTTAATTATTTCGTGAACATGTAATCTTCAAATGTAGATCTTTTTCAAACCAAGATAAAAGTTATCTTATTGCATTTAATTTCCAAGTTAAATGCAAACAGCTATGTTTACTAAATCACTTTTCATGACATTAAGTCTTTGAACAATTGTGATTTTGGAGGGGGCAGGCGGTACACAGTGCTAGGGATGAAACCTTGGACCTCACACATGGTAGGTAAGTGCCCTGTGACTAAGCTACACCCTAGGTCTGAACAACTTTATCTGTTCTTTTTTTTCTTTTTTTGAATTCCAACAGATTTAGCATCAATGAAATAACCTGGTTAAAATCCTGGTTTCTTTTCAAGTCAGTTATAGAATAACAATAATCTTTTTTTTTTTTTAATTGTCTTGGGATGGAACCAAGGGCTTTCCACATGCTATGAAAGTTCTACCACTGAGCTACACTCCCCAGCCTAGAACAATAATCTAATGTTCAAAGCTTTATTTTAAAAAATTAAATGACTTGGGCTAGGGATGTGGCTCAAGTGGTAGCGTGCTCGCCTAGCATGTATGAGGCACTGGGTTGGATTCTCAGCAACACATAAAAACAAAATAAAGATATTGTGTCCACCTAAAATTAAAAAATAAATATTAAAAAAATTAAATGACTAAGTTTTACAGACATTTTCACATAGCATACTTTACAATAAAGTCATCCAATCAACATGGCTTCAGGAAGTTGTCTTTGAGTAGGTGATTGATCTAAATTGATCTAGAAATTTATAAAGGAGAGAGGTGGTGGTGGGGAAGGCTAGCTAATTATGCAAGGAATTTCTATTTATTTTCTGTTATGTGAACTTCTCTGCTACATGAGAATCAGGATCACTGAAATATCCATTTGGATAAGATTTGCACTCAATACAATCGTATCTGAGTACACCAAATCTTTCTTGCCTCTGAAATTCTAAATCCAGTTTACATAGTCTGATTAATCTAATCTTAGCATTCACTCCAATTAGATTCTGAACTAATAGAAAGCAGAGGCACAGCACAGCCTACTAAAGGCTAGTGATACCAAGTATACACTTTATTCACAGTCAGTTCGTCTGTGGTTGAATGTATCAGTGGGAAGGTATGATCCCTTCCCCCAACCATCATGAGAGTCATGGCCTACACTCCTATAAGCAAAGACTGGTTAACAAAGGAGAAATATAAAAAATATAAGTAAGGGAAGTTTTATGTAACATGAGATAAAGATAATGAAGACCCAAAGATCCAACGAAAACTGCCTATTTTTATGCTTAGATTCACTGAAGTATGGACAGATGTAAAGAGATGTGACTGAACAAAAAGGGTGTGATCTAATGTAATAGACTGAAGCAGGGGAACTCAGCAAGCCGTGCCTGTTCAGTTTCTTGGCTTCTCTCTGTGGCATTTCTTCCTCCTGGATATAGGTTTAAAATTCCTTCTGAAATGAGGCTTTGTGATTTATTATGAAACAAGGGAAGTGGGAAAATTTCTTTATGGTCAGTTCTTAAACAGAAAGGTAGGGTGAGGTTACAGTAATATTTTAAGCTTTATGGCTTGCTTTGAGGAAAAGTAGGTCCAGTTTTTATAATGCCTTGGGGAAAAGGAATTCTAGTTAATACGACTTGTTTTGGGGAAAAATGAAGGGCAAGAGATAGGAGGGCAGGAGTAGGTCAGAAAGAACTTAGTTCTGAGGCCGATTCGGAGGACTTCCAATGTTCCTTTACTTCAAAGTATTCAGCACATCAAAACATCATACTTGGGGGAATCATTTTCTGAGCTCCAATAAGAACTAGAACTAGAAAACAAATCACAGATCTCCCAAACTCTTATTCAAGAGGCACCAAATACTTTACTGTGTTTTATTCACTATGGATAACAAACAAGGTATTTAAGACATGGCCCAGAAAGGAGATTCTATAAAAATAATGTATTTAATTCTACTTCCCTAAACTACTCAAAGTTAGCAGACTAAACAATTTATTTTTAGAAACTAAAAATGTACCTCCAAATGTGGAATAAAAGTTTTATCACTTTCTAAGGCAACCACTTTGGCACCAGCTTCAAGTAATGCTCGAGTCAGGATTCCAGGACCTACCATGTAAACAGAAGAGAAAGTTCATGTGCAAAGGAACAACACAATCTCTTTTAATATCAAACTCGAGTAATTGTTTTACAAGTATTGTACAATTTCAATGCTCACAACATCCTCAACATGTCTTTTTGACAATTAGCGGGGATTAGATAATTATTTGACTCCAACGTTCCAACTGGTAAATGAAACAGGTTGAATCCATCCTGTCAGTGACTGCAAAATTTGTACTGTTACTCACGTTTCACTACTTCTTAGAAGGAAAACAAACAAATCAGAAAAGCTTGCCTCTATCCTTCCTCTTATTCATGCTTCAACCATCAAAAATATCGCCGAGCCTAAGCAGAAGTGACATTCAATGATAGGAAATGATGCTTTAAAACATGTTCAAAAAGTCTACAAATCGTGTTTTTGGCATATTATTGTGGTCTATAATAGATGCGCAACGATAAGATAAACTTCTTTGAGCTCACGCTGTGTGAGGGAGAAGGTGCAAGTTAAGAGCAAATTTAAAATGATGCGTAAGGTGCAAATTGCTACAGAAATATTCCGTGATGCCATTATTAATACAGATCTTATGTGTATGTTGTGGGCAATCTCTCCACGGAAGACGCCTGAAGTAAAGGGCAGTGACTTAAACAGCACTCCACCAATGGTCAATAAAATTATGCAGAAAAGAACATCCAAGAAAATGGAATCCAGCCGGACTCACCTGGATTGCACTCCAGGAATAGCTGTTCAGGATTTTTTCGTTTCGTCCGCACAAGTTTTATCAGGGTCTCAGCCAATTTCCGACTGGTTATGTAACGCCCGGGCTCTGAGCGGCACTTGGACATCCACCAAGGAGATTCCTCCAAATCGGTATAGGGTAAAGGCTGGGGGGAGAAGTCAGACAATCCACGGCGGTTCCTCGCCGGCAAGTCCTTCCGCTTAGTTGTTCCCGACCTCAAAGTACTAAAGCGACCAGCAGCTGCCAAAACTGACCACGTCAGTCGCGGAGCAAGGCCAGTAGCTGGGCCCCACATCCTCGCCTCTAAGGTCGCCCCCAAAGATCACCTAGGATCCACTTCGGTAAGCCCTGTGCAGAGGATCCCACGTGCGAACCCTCCCCTCCGCCAATCTAGGCCGGGCGGAAGTAAATATTACAATCTGCGCATGCGAACATCTGATCCTTGCTGCTGTCCTCCCTCACTTCCGTTTCCGACCCGGCTCAGCCGCCAGAGGATTTTGAGTGGACGGATGAGAAAAGAGACCGACTATCCGGCTGTGTCCGGACGCGTACTCTATGGTTATCCCGCCCTCGGCGCTTCCTCTCTAGCCGCTCGTGCTCTATGCTCCGCGGTCTCGGGCCGCCAGCCGGCCAGCGGGGAGGGGTGCGCAGAGGGAGGCGGGGCGGAAAGGCAAGAGGTGTCTAATCCACCCGAGCCGCGGGAGACCCGAGCAAGCTCAGTGACAGCTCCTCGGCCGCCATGTCAGCGAGTGGGGCTGAAAACAGACCCGGCGCCCAGCGGTAGTCCTCCTTTTGCCTCGGATTCCCAGGTGAGGAGGGGAAGAGCGGGATGCAGGGGACCCGCCGCTGGAAAGCCTTTAGGAAGCCCCTCGCTCCTCCCCTTGCGCTGTCCTCGTCCGGCAGCGCCGCCTCTGCCCTCGCACTGAGGTGTAGCCGGGTTCCCTTACCTCCGCCCCCTCCCCGGTAGCTTGTTTTCCCCTTTTTTTCTCCAGCCAATGTGGGTCTTCTAATCCTGCGCGTCGCGCCAATTTCTCCCTCCCTAGGGGATTAGCGCCAGAAATCGTTCCTCTCTGGGCTCCCGGGAGAGCCTGTGGCTTCTACTATGCCTCTGTCCCTCTCTGTCCTGTTGCCCACAGCCTGGTATCTCCACCCTTGTGGATGGTTTTTATTACTCCCCACCATACCTGCCCTCCCCCTCCCGCCACCACCACCACTTTAGTTGTCGGGAACCACCTGGTGTCTCCGTGGAGGCCGATATTTACCTTAATTTTCCATTTTTGATTTGGGTGTTTGAAAGACTTAAGATTGAAAAAATTAAGATTTATAAGCTTAAAGCTCAAAAGAACGAAGATCTTGGGATCCTTGTTTTATTCACTGTATAAACTTAAACACATTGTACTATAGAATGCAATTTAAAAGACCAGTTCCAAAAGACTAAAAATAGGATGCTCTAATGGAAATTTTGGCAGTCTGTTGGGCAATGTTAGAGACTCTATTCTTTGAGACTAATTTCACTGTTTGAGGATCATACTTAGAAAGAGCTTGACCACCAAGGCAGTAAACTGCAACCAATCAACTCCCTAGTTTAAAATATGTACAATCCTTTCTGCTTACTCTACTGGGAGCATAATTGAGCTTGAGCTTGGTATTTAAATGCACAGGGTAAAGGTTCCAGAGGAATGTGTCACCTAGCAAATAGTCTGAAGATTATCCTCAACTGATAAAACTCCCAATTGATGAAGACTTGACAACCAAATAGGGCCTTTTGGGGGTGATTATTTTTGATACCATAGAAGTATCTAATCAACTGTTGTGGAAACTCTAGGGGATTCACTCACTGATCTTATTTCCTTAAGTTTTCTTTCATTGAAAATTTTCTAGAACCTTTTGCTACAGTTGAGGAAAGCTTCCCTCCTTCACTTAAAAACATTTTCATAGATTCAGAAAACGCTGACTTTTTTTTCCTTCTTTTTTCAAAAAGCTCCTTGCAGGCCTAAATATTATAAATCAAATAAAATAGAAAGATGTCTTATGGTAGAGGAAGTACTTAATTGACTCAGAGAAATGTAATGTTGAATTTTTCACTTTAAAAATTTGCTTTTTAAAACTGGATGTGTAGCTCAGTGGAATAATGTTTGCCTGGCATGCTCAAGGCCTTTGGTTCCATCGCCAGCACTACAATAAATAAATAAATAAAATACTTTAGAAATAACATTGTAGGGGGCCGGGTGGGCTCAGTGGTAGAGCACTTGCCTAGCACATGTGAGACACTGGGTACAATCCTCAACACCACATAAAAATAGATAAATAAAGGTATTGTGTCCATCTACAACTGAAAAATATGTGTTTAAAAAAATAACATTGTAAGGGGAAAAGCAAATATGTAAGATGAACAGATGGAAATACAAAATACATTTTCTTATTTCATAATGTCTATGGACCAAAGTTAGTCGACTTATTCCTAAAGAAACAGGTAATTTTCTAATTTTGCTTTTAACTGCTGTTTTTTTTAGGGGGAGGGGAAGGGAATTAAGTTATAAGTGTTTCTCTTTTTTATACTATTAATGATTCACTTGTTTGTGGTTGAAAGTGCTTGAATAACAAAGAGAGAGAATCTTTTTGCTTTTTTCCTAAGCACAAAAAATGAAAGAAATGTCCATTTCACTCTAAAGGTGAATGTTATAATTAGCCTTTAGACCTATTTCATTAGTAAATTTTGGTTAGTTTATTTTCTTAAGATGTGTGGTTTTGCATCCTGTGCTATTTTTGCAGTAATCTTTCTTTCAAATGTTGCCAGAACTAAGTTATTCTGCTTAGTATTTTTATGACTGCTTGAAGTTATTTTTCTTATTATCTCAAACTGCTTTTTTTTTTAGCTTTTAAATTACATCTGTAACTGCGAAATACCAGTTTGCTGTCAGAATCAAGGTTATAGTTCTATAGCAGTAAATGTTAAAACAAAACAAAACTATACTGCAAGCCAGAAAAGTAATTTAAAAATGTCTAGTAGACATATTAACAAAGTAAAAAGAAATAGACGAAATTAAGTTTTAATAATATCTTTTAATAATAACATTTAGTCCTATGTATATCATTTCAAAACAGATGCAAATAAAGTTTAAAATGAGATTTTTTTTCATGATTTTACACTAAATCTGCAAATTCTGGTGTATATTTTACATTTATCGCATATCTCAATTCAGACTAGCTAGCTACTGTTCAAGTACTGAGTAGTCTCATATGGTTGATTGACTACCTCAGTTGGTAGCACCAGATCTGGTTTTTGGTTTGTTTTCTTTTTACAGTGCTAGGGATTGGACCCAGGGCCCCATGCAGGTGGGGCAAACACTCTACCACTCAGCTACATCCCCAGCCTGTGGTAGCATGTATCAATAGGATTGCCATTTTATGTTTAAAACACCTTCTCACCCAAAGAGTCTGATTCTGTGGGGTTAATTAAAAACTCCTTTTCTTGATGTACTTTGGTACTCAATCTGAGAAGCTTCTATGCCGAAAAATAGTTCTAAGAATTCTCTTCCTCTTAGTGTTGACAGTGTTAATACCGAGTTCCACGCTTATTAGTGAACACTGATGCCCAGAGCTTGTTTAATGAGGATCATAAGATGAATACAACATTCAGTCATTTCCCAGCATGGTGTTACATTATTTACATCTTTGTGTCAATAATGTGTCAAGGCACTGTACTAATAATAATCTTTGTCTACTAAATCTTATTGCCATTAAGTAGGAAGAACTTAAGAATCTACAAAAGATTTAACTTTATTGTAAACTGCTGTTGTTATTTTCTGAACCAGTTTTTGGTATGGCTAAGAGTTTTAGGAATGCATTTCTCTATGTTTCTTATGAAGGGAAAGATCAAAACTTTTTTTTTTTTTTTTTTTTTGCAAGATTTAGAAGGAAAAGGGGTTTGTTTTGGTTCTAGGAACCTGAAATATGACCGTTTTATAAAGCTACTGACATATAGTCTAGGTACATGGCATAAAATGTTTTGCAACAAGGAATGGTGATTTGCATGAAGCCATCTGTGGTTCAGAGCTGAAAAATAACACTGAAGCCAGCTGACCCCAGTGGGGGATCAGTCAGTTCCATCATTGTTCCTATCTTGACCCAGTGCTCTAGTAAACTCCCCAGCATGACTCTAGCTGCAATGTGTTTCATCTACATTTAATGTCAAAATTAGCCTGAAGCCCTAATTAAAATTCATTGTAATTTAATACAAGAAACATGCCCTCCTCCTAACCTTTATAACATTAAAGAATTTTTAAATTACCTGGTCAGTAAACTGACCATAAAATCTAGTCTTTATAGACCTGACACAGGATAAGGCAGTGTGTGGAATATTAGAGGATCAAACACAGAATTGGAGAAGAGCATGGATATTGGTTGTTGCTTATTTCTTGAGAACTGTGGGCATGTTCTATAGGATAATAGAGTGTTTTCATTTGCATTTAAAACTAGATGATGGGCTGGGGTTGTGGCTCAGTAGTAGAGCCCTCATCTAGGATGTTCGAGGCCCTGGGTTCAATCCTCATCACCACATAAAAATAAATAAGTAAAATAAAGGTATTGTGTTCAACTACACCTAAAAAATAAATATTAAAAAAAAACAAAAACAACTAGGGGCTGAGGTTGTGGCTCAGAGGTAGAGTGCTTGCCTAGCATGTGTGAGACCCTCGGTTCGATTCTCAGTACCACATATAAGCAATTAAGTAAATAATAAAGGTCATCAATAACTAATAAAAATATTTAAAAAACTAGATGATTATCCATTGGTGTTATTTTATTTGAATAAGAAAGAAAACACTAAGTCAGTGTTGTAGGGAGGAAATGGAGAGAAGTAGCTAAAAGGATACAAAGAAACCAATATATAAGATGAACAGGTAAAAAAGATATAATGTACAACATGAGGGCCATATTGAGTTGTATTCAGAATTTTTGCTAAAGGAGTAGATTATAACTGCTTCTGCCACAGGGAGGAAAATGGTTAACTATGTGAGATGATGAGTGTGTTAATTTGTTTCACTATAATAATTTTTACTATGTATTTGTATCTTTTTTTTTTTGAGAATACAGTTCATGTCTGTGTGATTCATTTTTTTAAAATTTTTATTAGTTGCTCAAAACATTACAATGATCTTGACATATCATACATTTGATTCAAATGGGGTACGTAATCTTAATCTTATTTTTCCACGTGTACAGATTGCAGGATCACATTGGTTATACAGCCACGTTTATACATAGGGCCATACTAGTGTCTATTGTATTGTGCTGCCCTTCCTATCCCCCTTCCCCTCCCCTCCCCTGTGTATTTGTATCTTATAACATATATATATGTTATATAGACAGTACCATATTCTTTTTTTTTTTATATAGACAGTACCATATTCTTTTTTTTTTTTTTTTTTTTAAGATTTTCCTATTCAACTCTCTAGTAAGAATTGTGGAATAGTGGCAAATTTAGCAATCTTTATTAATATTTGGGCATTTGATATTTTATTTGGGAGTATCTAAGTGATTGTAGAAGTTAGCATTACTTTGAAATTGTCATATTTTAAAATTTTTTTATGAGAATTACCCAGTTTTTTCTGTAGTCTGAGCTATTTGGGCAGAATGAGGAAGGAAGATTGCTTCAAGACCAGCCTGGGAAACAAAATAAGCACCAGTCTCAAAAAAAAAAAAAGAAAAAGGAAAGAAAGAAGGAAGACACGGAAAGAAAACACATTGTTTGATTCAATTAAACAATGATTAATTGAATTTAATTTGATTCATAGTTTGATTTCAGATT